TTTCAAGTGTACGAATATTTATTTCCCCCCACTGTAGGTATATACCGGTATATACCTTCTCAGACCACCACCACAAACTTGAAACATTTTGAAATCCCCATTAAAGCTCATTCAAATAAATGATTGAGAATTGTCCAAATACCGATGAATTTTTGCACCCAAGTGGGTCATCATGATTGTGTTTGGCCGGGCACACGGGCAAATCAATAGTACGTCCGCTCTCTGCAACTGTTTTGGTAAAGAAAGTGTTTCCCTACTTGGACAATATAGTCCATTTATTTACCTCAGTATCTTCTGTCTCCGAATGTCTTTCTGGCTCAGCTACCATCATACCACTGCAGCAGCCCGGTAACCAATGTGTTAAGGGAGGGTTGCGGGTGCTGCAAAATATCTAACTGATGTGAGTGTCAAGATAGTCAGATAGTCGCCCTAACCACCTCATCACTTATGCTTGTACCTCTCCACCGCGGCTGTCGTTGTGTCTTGTTTGTGCCACAGTCACGGGAAGGCCACCACCGTTTTAGAGATGAACGCTCCAGCCTCCCCTTCCGCTTAGTCTATAGTTCCCTTCCTTTTCACCTCGCACTCCCCACGCCAGGGCCATAAAGGAAGTTGGGGCCAGAACAAAAACAACAGAATGTACATCACCCACCAGCCCCCGTCACCACTCACCAGCCCCCGTCACCACCCACTAGCCCCCGTCACCACCCACCGGCAAGATAGTTCCTGTTCTCAGCGGCCTCATCACTCTCCCGACAGTGCTGCCGTAGGATCTGTATGAAGATCTTCATGGAGCAGATCAGGATGGGGGACAACGTCTTGACGGAGTCCAGGCAGCGGGTGAGAGTCTCACGGTGCACCTGATGGGTGAGCTCCTGGGACCTGTGGTCCACCTCACGCGATACCTGGGCAGGGTACCTTCAGTTACTGGCGTCGCTAATTACCACAAGTAACTCCTGCTATTTAGTATACCCAGCTATTGTGTAAGTACCCCTTTTTTCATTGTGTAAGTACCCCTTTTTCATGTATCAGTTCATGGTACCCCTTTTACTAAGTAACAGTTTAGTTACTTCCAAGTTTATTTATTTAGTTCTTTAGGTTACTTAAGTACATAACATAAATTAAATTATTTTCAGATACATGAACATTTTCTTTATGTCTGGGGAGATATACGTACACTTTCCACATGTACCTATACACTGTATGGGGGAGAGGCATGACCCACCTTGGTGAGGCAGGGGGAGAGGTCCTTGACGAACTGGATGAGGTCCTCCATGGTCTCGATGACCTCGGCCACGGCGAGGTAGTCGAGCACCGTCTTGCACTCGCGGATGATCTTGCGCACCTCGGACTCGTCGAAACACAGCAGGAGGGACGACGTCCCCTGCAGGATACCCCGCGCCCCCTCTATCAGCTTCTTCCTGTTGGGGGACAACCTTGTTAATATGGCGTCCAGGGATGAGGGATGATGTCCCCTGCATTATACCTCTTTACCAATATTTAATACCATTAACAGAAAACAGGCGAGATGATTTATAAATGAAGGAAGTCGTCAGTCCAAGAAAAACAAAACCTTGCAGCAGAGGCAAACAATATTCGAATTCTTTGCGTTTTTCCCTATTTATTATTTATAAAGTACTAGCGTAGATTTTTCAACATTTCTAACTAAGAAGACTGAGTACCGGCAGCGGCAACAAGTCTACACGTCAAAGGATCATGAAGTGAGCCACACTCCAGCGCCATGGTCTGCAAACCAAGCGTGGGGTCTACAAACCTTGTCTGTCAAATCAAATTAAGCTATGGAAGATATTTCCGGTCTAAAATAACTGATACTAGACCCACCTGGCGGGCTGGGAGTATGACACTAGACCCACCTGGCGGGCTGGGAGTATGACACTAGACCCACCTGGCGGGCTGGGAGTATGACACTAGACCCACCTGGCGGGCTGGGAGTATGACACTAGACCCACCTGGCGGGCTGGGAGTATGGGTCGACCTTGAGCATGGAGGAGGCCTCCTCCAGGAGGCGGGCGGCGGCCTCAACCCTCAGCAGCGCCGCGGGCATGTCCTGCTTCAGGAGGCTGTCCTCGCTGCTCTCGATGGTGCTGCGCCCCACCTGCGGGGGGCGTGGGGGACAGGTGCACTCACAATAATTAGTGGCTCATGTCGTACCAAACATTGCCTGGGGGGGAGGCGTGGGGGGCATGTGCACACTTCCAAGATAATTAGTGACTCATGTCGTCCAAATATTGATATATTTTCTTGCCCAGCGCACAAGAAAAGATCAGAAGTAGAACTGATCTGGACTTTTGTGGGAACAGACTGGGTAAAGATGATACACACAAGGACAAAAACTGCATCGTAAAAGTGCAAGGACAAAAGTGCGAAGTGAACAAAGTCTTAACATTTGTTTGAGTGCAGGAAGTGTGTCACTATACAATAGGCTGCATTAATTAACATTGCAGTGATAGCACTATGATGCCGCTAGCTGTGTTACTCGCGGTCACTAGCAAAATTACTAATCTTGTAACAAACTAGTGCAGTGAACAGCCTAGTACATCACCAGCACAAAAAACAGTGCAGTAACAAGTGAAGTTAACTAGTGAGGTGAATGCATCAACAAGCGTAGGACCCAACCGAAGGACCCAGACCCACCTAGAGACTCAGATCCAGAACATGTCCCACCTTTTCACCCACCTTTTAACCACCTTATGACCCACCTTTTCACCACCTTATGACCCACCTTCTGACCCACCTTTTAACCATCTTACGACCCGTCTTATAACCCACCTTATGACACATCTCATGACCCACCTTGACGAGGTTGACGACGGCACGGGACACCGCCAGCACGGGCTTCTCCAGGTCAGGCATGGCGTTGCCATCCTCAGCCTCCTCGTGCAGGATGACCAGCCGCGACACCTGCAGACAGGGGCGTGTCAACAGGGGGGTGTCAACAGGGGCGTGTCAACGGGGGGTGTGGCAACAGGGGGTGTGGCAACAGGGGGGCGTGGCAACAGGGGATGTCAACAGGAGGGTGTGGCAATAGGAGGGTGTGTCAACAGGGGGTGTGGCAACAGGGGATGTCAACAGGAGAGTGTGGCAATAGGAGGGTGTGTCAACAGGGGGTTTGGCAATAGGAGATGTCAACAAGGGTGTGTGTCAACAGAGGTGTGGGTCAACAGGGGTGTGTGTCAACAGGGGAGGTCAACAGGAGTGTGTGTCAACAGGGGTATAGGTCAACAGGGGAGGTCAACAGGAGTGTGGGTCAACAGGGGTGTAGGTCAACAGGGGTGTGGCAACCGAGGGATGGCAACAGAGGTCTGTCTATCAGCAGCACCACCATCACCAATACCACCCCCTCGCTTGTGCCCCCTTACCCTCACTTCTATCTGTACCTCCTTACCCTCATTTCTATCTGTACCCCCTTATTTACAAAAGATTTCGCACTCGAAACTATTTTCCCATTAATTACAATGATGAAATTATTTCTGACTGCTTTCATTAACCGTAGAATCTCTAATAACCCTATCAGCGCAATAATAGTATATATAGAACGAGAAAAATCTGTCATTTAACACTAATATTTGTTTACTTCATATGTCCAATTTCTGAGGACTTGGTTATTCACCACTTGCCTCACGTCCGGACTGAATATTGCCTCACGTCCTGACCAGACGGTCTACGGAAGGTAAACAAACGCAAACGATGTTCGCCAGTTCGTATAAGAAATTTGTAGGAAATTCCTTCGAAAATAAATTTCTAGATTTTTGCTTTCACAAAATTTCCCTATCAAGGAAAATCATAGATTATTGATGGATAATTAAATGCATATTAATTATTAAGTATTATACATTTTCTATCTCTTGTCTCTTGACAAAATGTATGTGCGCGCTACGCCAACGCTTGCGCGCACTGCGCCGACGCTTGCGCGTGCAAGCAGGGATGGCAAGAAGTTGCACCAACTGTGCGCCGCCAGGATGGAATTCTAAAATTTACAGTTCATATATTATTTTCGCTACACCTAGACCAGTTTTTAGATACAACATTATTTGAGGCAAAAAAATAAACTTCTTATAGGCTTAAACACGTATAGGTCTTACCCTCACTTCTATGTGCCCTTACCCTCACTTCTACCTGTACCCTCTTACCTTCACTTCTATCTGTACTCTCTTGTCCTCACTTCTATCCGTACCCTTACCCTGACTTCTATATGCGCCCTTACCCTCACTTCTATAATCAATAATTAATAATTAATAATTAAAATAAATAATAAGTATGTGCCCTTACCCTCACTTCTATCTGTACCTTTTTACCCTCACTTCTATCCGTACCCTTACCCTCACTTCTATCTGTACTCACTTGCCCTCACTTCTATCTGTGCCCTTACCCTCACTTATACCTGTTCTCCTTACCCTCACTTCTATCTCTCCCCCTCACCCTCACTTCCATCTGTGTCTCCTTACCCTCACTTCTATCTCTCCCCTTCACCCTCACTTCTATCTGTGTCTCCTTACCCTCACTTTTATCAACGTCCTTCCTCTCAATTGCCAGACCCGTGTTCACTCTTCGCCCACTCCATTGCATGTATACGTACTATACATATCTCTAATAACTTAAAAGCAAAGAAAATACCACAAAAATTCACACTATCTTTATAGCGAACGTTTCAGAGTCCAGCTCTATCGTCAGTTCGACAATTCTAGAACACAGATAAATCAATAAATAATACAGTCAAGTCTTATCTAACTTATACATATGATCTTATACATATCCCACTCTACTGTATGTCAATTATTTATATTTATGTCCACACCATGTTTACTTTAAGTCTACTCAGTCTGCACTCTGTCAAATTTACTCCTAGTGAACACTAAGTGTACAACTACGTCTACTGCACATGTCCATGTCTTAGCAGGGCCGACCATCCACAGGTGGCCACCTATAACGCACCTATCACCCCGCACAGCAATCCATTACACAGCGTTCGGGGCACCACACAGCAGGACGCGTATGACCCCTGAATAAGTGTGACCATATTTAATGTGACCTCTCGACCCCTTCATCCCTCTGAGAACATGTACACAATATTTCCTTTGTAAACGGGAGATTTGAAGCGGAAAATCTATAAGTGGAAATTCTGGATAGCGGAGTTTGGTTATGAGGAGAGGAAACTGTGGCTATGTCGTGAGTCTTACGATGGTCATGAGTCTTACGATGGTCATGAGTCTTACGATGGTCATGAGTCTTACGATGGTCATGAGTCTTACGATGGTCATGAGTCTTACGATGGTCGTGAGAGTGAGGGTGGCCTCACATGACGCAACAGACGCTCTTTGTTTGCCTCTGGTGACATAATGGCAGCATTGACCGGCATATCGGCGGCCAATCAACAGTTGGCCGGCATATCGGCGGCCATTAAACGGTGGGTCGGCCTAGTGGCGACCAATCATCGGTCAAAAATGTCGCTAGCAGTCAGTATATAAGGTGTGTGATGACGTCACACGCCATAAACGGTATACTGTACAGTCTAGCGAGGAGAGTGCATGGCTAAACCTGTATAGCAGCTAGAGAGCATAGCTAGAGTACAGCTATACAATATAGGTACGGTACAAATACAGTGAACTGTACGTCATGCTAACCTCAAAATAACCTAACCTAACATAACCTGACTAAAATTTAACCTAACTTAACCTTAGCCTAAACTACGCTAACCCTACTAATGCTAGCTTATTAGGAACACAAACTAGGTATATACATTTGCGGTCTGCCGTGTACACGCACAGTGTACAGGCATAAGGTACAGCGTACACTACACACAGTACACACACACGGACACAAACATGTAGGCGTACAGCGAGCGCTGTGTGTAGGTGTGTGTGCTGTGTGTAGGTGTGTGTAGGACGAACCTTATGGGGTGTGTGTGACGCATGAGAGCTGCACTCGTGCTGTGCTCTGCTGTGCTGTACTGTGCAGGCGAGTGCTGTGCAGACGTGTGCTGTGCATGCGTTCTAAGCAGGCGCGGAGTATGCAGACGCGTGCTGTGCACTACGCACGCAGTCGTGTGCTGTGCAGGTACGTGCTGTGCAGACGCGTGCGTGTTGTGCAGACGTGCTGTACAGCGCAGTACATGACTGCTGCGGAAACATGAGCTGTCCTGCAGAGTTCGGCGCAATGCTGATAACCCGCGGCGTTATCTTCATCCGGCCCTTGCCGTGCTGCAGCAGCATGGCAGTTGCAGCACGACAGCGGCGACAGCATGGCAGTTGCAGCACGACAGCGGCGGCAGCATGGCAGTTGCAGCACGACAGCACCAGCAGCATGGCAGTTGCAGCACGACAGCAGCAGCAGCATGGCAGTTGCAGCACGACAGCAGCAGCAGCATGGCAGTTGCAGCACGACAGCGGCAGCAGCATGGCAGTTGCAGCATGACAGCGGCAGCAGCATGGCAGTTGCAGCATGACAGCGGCAGCAGCATGGCAGTTGCAGCATGACAGCGGCAGCAGCATGGCAGTTGCAGCATGACAGCGGCAGCAGCATGGCAGTTGCAGCACGACAGCAGCAGCAGCATGGCAGTTGCAGCAGCATGACAGCAGCAGCAGCACGACAGCAACAGCAGCATGACAGCAACAGCAGCATGACAGCAACAGCAGCATGACAGCAGCATGACCTTGACCGCATGCTGCAGCACCAGCCCCTCGGAATGACAAGATCGCGGTCAGCCATTACAACCTCTACACACCTCAGCATGTATGACAGCAGTAGCGCCTGCGTATTTTCTATTTTTACGTATTATTTTACTGCGTATTTTCTATTTTTACGATTTATTACAGTTTGCCGGGGTTCAAACCCAAGGGAGATGCGAGGGTCAGCCATGTGGCGCGTGGCAGAACAACGGCTCCTTGTGGCCGGAACCACAGCAGCAGCGACAAGAACATCAAAATAACAATAAATTAGCATTAGCATGAATAACACTAGCAACACATGAAGAAACCATTACAGCGCCAGCAATATCGTAGAAAACAGCAGCAGCAACAAAAAACAGTAACAGCAACGCCAGCAAAAACAACAACAGCCGCAACAGCAGCAAAAATAGCAACAACAACGGCAGCAACAGTAAAGACAGCGGCAGGGGAGGAGGGGGGTGTGCGCGTGGGTGCCCGCGCCCCAAGGCCGCGCAGGTGCAGGGGAAAGTTTTGTCGTCTCAACCCCTGTGAGGTTTAGTACACACCCCGCCCCCTTACAGTCCCCTCCAGTCCCCACACTGTAGAGGGCTGCTGTCACCCCTCCAGTCACCACACTGTAGAGGTAGAGGGTTGATGTCACCCCTCCAGTCCCCACACTCTACACCCTGAAAAATGAATGGTAATATTGTCCAAATATAGACACCCCGTCTTTCCGCCAGGATGAGCGAGCAGAGCGAGGTTGCAGCTTTGATCCACCCGCCCTTTTGTCGGGTCAAGAAGAGCGTCGCTTTTCAGACAAACCCTCACTGATTTCATTGAGTACACCGTGCACCATCTGCTGCAGTGCACCGTGCACCATATGCAGCACGACACCGTGCACCATCTGCTGCAGTACACCGTGCACCATCTGCTGCAGTGTACCGTGCACCATCTGCTGCAGTGCACCGTGCACCATATGCAGCACCAATGTTCATCAAAAACCATCTGCACAAGTACGTTCCTTTGTTCACGGTGCAGCTTTACGAGCACCGTATAAGAGCGATCGAGAATCCCACCCCACGTTACGCCCAAAATTCTAATGGCGTTCGCAGCGTTCCAAGGACATTCCAGCGACCAGCTGCGTACCTACAGCGTACCAACTGCGTACCAACTGCCTGTCACTTGCGTACAAATCTTTCTACGAACAGTTTTCATCGCAAACATGCTTCGCTTCGATAAGGAATAAACTGCGTGGAA